AAGACTATGCATTCATCTAACTGAAGTATCCATCTGAAGAAGATAGATTGACACAGTGGCTGCAACAGTGGGCTCAAACATAGCAACACTTGTGAGGATGGCGCAGGGCTGGGCAGAGTTTCCTTCTGTTGTGCGTGGGGTTGCTCTGGGGTGTAACGTGAGGGCCCCTAACAACAAGCGAAGTGAGCAACTTCATGAAAATACAGAGTCTTTTGGATACTCACTAAAAATGAAAGTAGTTTATTTTGTTCTACTGTAGGAACCATTGTATACCTCTGTATTCTTGTAGAAAGCATACATACTTAACAAAATAAATCACAAATAACTGTCTTGCAGACCCTCAAAATCAAGAGAGAGAACAGCGTAGCGATTCTACAAATCTTAACACATCTTTAGTCCTCCTAGGCCTACACAAAACTATGTAGAAAATATTAAATGAAAATTTAAATTCATCCCTCCCTCCTTTTCTCCTTTCCTTCCTTCTATTCTCTTCAAATAACCCTGTTAAATAAGCTATTTATCCCTTCTGCGTGACCAATATAGTCTACGCAATACAGAGGTTGTCATTTTATTGTTTATATGTGAAATCATACAACTATTAAAAATTTTTGAAATGTATTTTGATTTGATATTAAGTGACTTGGATGAGACTTGTATTAAATAAGTTTCTACAAGCAAGCTTGTTTTTCTTCATTTTTATAAAATTTTGTTTCTTGAGCTTGGAAATTGAAGGCACCAAATTTATTCATTATCAGTGGATTAAAGATAGCTTTAGGGAGACTAGAGTTTTAAGTTCAAATGGTGAAGAAGGAAAAGGCTGACGTGGTCTTATGGTTCTTCTGTGGGAAGATGGACTACTCATACATATTTAAATGCATGTGCAAAGAAGCCCTGGTGGTGCAGTGGTTAAGCTCTCAGCTGTTAACCAAAACGTCGGTGGTCCAAACCCACCAGCCACTCCGTGGGAGGAAGATGTGGCAGTCTGCTTCCATAAAGATTACGCCTTGGAAACCCTATGGGGCAGTTCTGCTCTGTCTACGGTCCCGGTGAGTCTGAGTTGACTGAATTGCACACAACAACAACAAATGCTCTTAGGATTTACTATGTAATGCAATTTTACATTGAATGCAAATAGATTGATTTACACTGAATGTAAATTTAGTTGAATGCAGTAGATTGATTTCAGCCAAGAAATAGCTCAATGAAGTATATTTGGCTACTGTTTCTGCTTTTTCCATTATGTCTTAAGATGGTTTATGTGAAAAACGTACTTTCTCTTCTGTCATCTTTAAGCATGGACGTTATAGTTTTCAAATAATTTGATAGAGTTGTGTTAAAGAGTATCAGTAGAGAGAAAATCAAATGTCAATAAATACCTCTTTCTGGAGCCCTAGTGGCACAGTGGTTAAGAGCTCGACTGCTAACCAAAAGGTAGGCAGTTCGAATCCACCAGCCTCTCCTTGGAAACCCTATGGGGCAGTTCTACTCTGTCCTTTAGGGTCGCTGTGAGTCGGAATCGACTCGATGGCAACAGGTTTGGTTTTTGGTTTCTAATCACATTCACATTAAATATATCAAGTGTTAGTTCATATTTTTGTCTCATTTATTAATGCTCTTGATCTAAAGAACGTTATACAAAGAAACTACAAAGTCAACAATTTGAGAGCAAATATTATTTTTCCTTGAATTATGGAAATCAATAATGAAAAGTAGCATATACCTTATTTTTCTTCAAAGTATAGAAATTAATAATAAAATAATGTACATATGATAGCACTTACAGTTTTTATTTATTTGTAAAGCATTTCAAATGTTAGATTCTAAGTCTATGTCTTAAATGGTCACACTTTTTAAGTTTGAGTAAATACTTTGTATCTATAAATTCAGTGCTGATCTCAATATTTAAAATAGAAGTGAAATTAAGTAAGGAGAGTCTAGCACTCAGTCACTGTACATTTAATATATTTTGGTAGGTCTGAAAGAGTTGGACAATAAAAAGCTCAGTATACCAAAAACATTATTTTGGTTGTCAAAACATTCCCATATGTTCATATTTACTGGAGCAGAAAGATAGTCTAAGGCCTTTATCTGAGTTGGCATGCGTGTTCACATTCATTTTAGACAACTGATTTTAATGTTCACATTTTTCCTTCTTTGCAAAATTCAGGAAGAGTCCTTTCTAAGATGAATCATGTTGATGGAGCCTTTTCTCATAGACCTTATTACACGTGAATTCTAACAGCAGAACAGCTCTTTTTGTTATTTTCATGTCATTTTGGTCCTAAACAGGAGTTTATAAGCTACAAAGAATGAAAACATCCAGTGCTCTAAAGAATTAATTTAGAGAACCTAAGCATATTGCACAGAACATAAAGTTGACCTTTCCCGTCTACAACTTTTGGAATGGAGTGGGATGTGGAACACATCATGGATTTAATGTGGCACATCGCTGTCTGCAGAAACTTGGGTGGGATGGTGACTGCTTGCCCATGGCACCCGGTGATTGAATCTGCTGTCAGCCAGTATCCTGATAATAATGAACATTCAGCTTAACGACCGTGATTATGATTATCATAATTGATGTGCAAGTGCCGTGTGTGGGAATCA